GAGCAAGGGAGGCTGCATTTTGAAATACTAATCAAGGCTTTTCAGTTCAAAAGAATGTGCATGAGAAGCTACAAGGGATGTCTTTGTGAACAAGAAGCAACAGAATAAAGAATAAGGGTCCTTTGGTATATAGGATGTTAGAAGCACATCAAAGTTTTCAAAGATCACATTTTATCTTTAACTTTATGCCTGTTTTAAAGGTCTTTATCTGTATAGATGATACAACTGATTCACCTGTCAATAAGACATATATTTGGAGTCTTTACATTTTTGAAAATGGACTGCATTAGCCCAACCAAATCTCAAATCTTATCCCTCTCGTGGCCAAGAACAGGTATGTATGAGATGACTGGCTGTGGTCTAAACTAGTATTTGGTTTCCAAGAAACCTAATTTCTCCATTTAAGAGACTGTTTGACCCCAACAGAAATCATAAAGTTAATACAAGTCCTACACATGTAGAGCTCATAGAAATATCACCCATTTCAATAGATATGGGCCTTTTATGAAAGAGTTTCTTTCCACAAAAGTAAATATGCTTATTGCTAAAGAATCAGATATAACTTTATGTAACTGCTAGATTTTTAGTTTCAAGAATTAACATCTTAATTGCACTGGGCATCTTCCATTTGTGCAGAGTACCCACTCTTCCCCTTTTTCCAACCTGTTGTGGCTCAGAAGGCTGCCCCAGACGAAGAGCAACACTGGACTTTGCTTCCCTCTAGTTTCTGGTTCAGTTTGGCCACTAGGGATGTACTGGTGGGAGATAGGAGGGAGGGGAATGAGGTGAGAGAATTTAGTCCCCCAGCTCCCTCTCTGCTCGGTCACCTAATCTTGGCTGCTTTCCTCCATCAAAGACTAGAGGTTTCATCACCCTTCTCCCCTCTTCACATTGCCTTCTCTCACTCCAAGTCCCAATAACAATTCCCTCCACTCAGAGCTTAAGACTTAAGGATGGTAACAGCATTCAGTAGTTACTAGCCCTGGGGTACTCCACATGCTCTGTGGTTTTCCTATATTGTGACTACTCATTTGTAAATGTATTTATTTATTTATTTATTTGTTTGTTTTTTAAAGATTTTATTGGGGAATTGGGGGAGGGCACAGCGTTGGGGAGTCGGGGAAGGGGAACAGACAAGTTGCTGTCCTTTTGTTCTTCAGTCTAGTTGTGGAGGATGCCGCTTCACTGGCCCATGTTGGTATTATCATTGTGCTCTTCCCGGGTGAGGCAGATCGGTCGCCAGCCACTGGACGGCTGCTCACAGCAGCTCATGAAAGCTCATGCCCACTGCTGGCCAGCCCCACTGCAGCCAATGCTGTCGCCGGCGACTCATGGCAGCCCAGCTCAAGGTCAAGCTGTTGTTCACCATCTTAGCTGTAGAGGGTACAGCATCACTGGCCCTCATGTGGGATCTGAACTGGCAACCCTGCTGCTCAGAGCTCATGCTCCCAAACCAACTCTTAACCAATGAGCCTCTCGGCCAGCCCCTGTAAATGTATTTATTAAACTAGCCTCAAATAACCCAGGTCAACAGTGCCATCTTGATACTAAATGATTTAAATATACCTAGCAAATTTACTAATATATGAGGAAGAGAGACCATCTATAGGAAGGTGAAACTTTTGTACTTGGGTTTTCTTATTAGGTCACTACTATAAAAACAATAGCTAATGTTTACTGAGAGTTCACTTTATGCCAGAAACCACTCTGAAGAGTATTCATGTGTTAACTCATATAACCTTACAATTAAACCTGAGAAGATGATATGACCACTATCCGTATAAGCACAGGAAAGTTAAAGGACTTGCTCATTTGATATTGTGATTTATAATAAGAAATATATATTTGGTCTTTGTCTCAGTTTCCAGCACAGAAAACCTTTGGAATGTCCTAAAACCCTGGGAATTTCCTAAATGATAAGAGTGATAAAAGTGTGTTCATATTCATAAGAAACCCCTTCAATCACACCTGAGTTTATGTTATTGAGGTGACTTTTGTAAAACAGCTATGGATGGGGGCTGGTTCCCAGGGAAACCAACCAGTGGTTGGAGGACTAGAACTTTCAGTCCCATCCCCCAACCTCCGGGGAGGGGAGAAGGGCTGGAGGTTGAATAAATGGCCAATGACCAATGATTTAATTAATCATACCTATGTAATGAAGCCTCCATAAAAACCCGAAGAACAGGGGTTGGAGAACTTCCTAATTGGTGAACACATGGAGACTCGAGGAGAGTAGTGTGCTTGGAGAGCATAGAAGCTCCATGTCCCTTCCCCACACCTTGCCCTGTGCATCTCTTCCATCTGGCTGTTCCTGAGTCATATCCTTTTGTAATAAACCAGTAATCTGGTAAGTAAAATGTTTCTCTGAGTTCTATGAGCTGTTCTAGCAAATTAATCAAAACCAAGGAGGGGGTCTTTGGAACCTCCAATCTTTAGCCAGTGGGCTGGAAGTACAGGTGACAACCTGAACTTTCGATTGGCATCTGAATTTGGGGACAGGGAGTCAGTCTTGTAGGACTGAGCCCTTAACCTGTAGGATCTGATGCTATCTCCAGGTAGATAGTGTGAGAATTGAGTTGAATTATAGGACACCCAGCTAGTGTCAGAGAATTGCTTGGTGTGGGGGGAAAAAACCAAAATGTTGGAATTGGTACCAGGATTGTACTGAATATCACACAACTAATAAATGGCAGAGTTGGTTGGGAACCAAAGAAATCTGACTCCTGAGCCCATGCTGTTAACACAAAACAATACTGCCTTTATATACAAGAATGCTAAAAGAGTAATTCATGGGAAATTTTATGTGATTCAAATGGGAAATTACATTAATTGAAACTTCCAGAATATATAAAGTTGCTAAGTACTAAAATTAAACAAATTGGCTTTAATTTTAGCAGAAAAAAATTTAGAAGGTATAATGTTGTACAGAGGAAAGCCCTATGAGAAATAGTACTTTAGAAAATGTAGATTGGAAAAGAAATTAATTTATGGAGCACCTCTTCTCCTACTAAAAAGTTTACATACAAACATATATACTTATGTACATATTTTATTTATATAATCTGTATAACAATCTCCTATGGCAGCTGCTGCTGTTCTTATTTTATAGATGAGGAAACTCAGATTGAAGTCATACCACCATAGGTCATTGACCTCCTTGGTGGAAATGTGTCACCCATCTCAATCTCAGGGGTTGGCAACTTTACCCCCAATACAGGACAAACTGGAAATTAGGGATATATCACAAGATCTGTAGGAAGCCCAAAATTCAGAAGCCATCATAAAACACAGCCTTGTACTATAGAGAATAAGATCATGATGATGACAAAGATAACAAAGACAAAAAACCAGCCACCTTTTACCATATTTCCAGTTTCTTCTGTAGAATCTAGCTATGCTATCAGTTACTCTGAAATGGCTCTTCTGTGTAAGGCAGAAATCAAGTCAGTCTCCTTCATTTTCATAACAAAATGTTAACTTTGCTAACACAGCTGGTATCTTCATTCAGCAACTTTACACACTCCTTACAAAGTCCAATTTTAAACCAACAACTATTTGTTCTTGCCTTAAGTACAGTTTAGACAACTGATAATTGAAAAAAATCAGACTAAGGAACAATAGTGATGTGTTACTTGTTTTTTCTGTCAACAGATGAATGCCCACTCAGTTTTCTTAGTGGTACAGAACCTGGATCTCTCTGGCATCGGACTAGTGTGGAAGAGGAATAAAATGTCTTCCTATCTTTGGGTTGTTCTCTGGGTTGTTCTGTCTAATGAACCAAAGCATGGGTAAGGAATTATTTTTTCTTTATCCAGTTTCATAAGCCATAGTGTTGTGAGAAGCGTGGGGAACTATTTTGAAGGGGATTAATGGCAATGTGTCTTTTACTGTAATAATTTTTTTATTTAAACATTTACAATATTGTTTGATCAGACCTCATAGTTATTAAGGGCTATGAGCTTCAGAATCAGACATTCTATCATTCTGATTATGAATTAGAATCCCTAAACTTCCCAAAAATCAGGGCCCAGAGGAATGAAAAGGCAAAGAACAGAGGGCTTCTAGGGTAGTGTAACTACTCTGTGTGTTATGATGGTAGATACTGTCACTATACATTTGTCCAAATTCCTATAATATACAACACCAAGACTGAATCTTAATGTAAACTATGGACTTTTGGTGATAATGATATATGTGTCAATGTAGGTTCATCAACTATGCCAAATGTACCACTCTCATGCAAGTTATTGATAATGGCTGTGCATATGTGAGAGCAAAGGGTATATGGGAAATCTCTGGTGTTCAATACTGCTGTGGGTCTAAAACTACTCTAAAAAATAAAGTCTACCCAAAAAAGGCCCACATAACCCTTTGAATCCATTGTATCTTTAGCCCAAACACCACTCTCATCTTTAGTTGGACTTTCAATAAAATACAGTTTGAGGCTTCTTTCTATCAACACAGAACAGGTCCAGCTTAACTCTTTAAAATTTAAAGTATCTCCTAATAGCTTGAAATATCTCAAGATATAAGTAGAGTATGACAAGGAAGTGAATAGCTGGTGAATGTTCTTTCAGACGATGTAAAAATACAAATTATTGAGACAACCCCTTAAATTACCACATCCACCATAAAATCTTTAGGAGTGGAGATAAGTGAGAATTGGGAGAGCTTTTCAAAACTGGGCTTCATTGGGTCACTGTATTAGCTCAGGCTGCCATCATACAATACCACAGACTGTGTACCTTAAACAACAGACATTTATTTCTCTCACAGTTCTGGAGTCAAGTCCAAGATCAAGGTGTTGGCAAGGTAGCCTTCATTCTGAGATCCCTTCTCTAGGCTTGTAGGCTGCAGCCATCTTGCCGTGTGCTCACATGACCTTTTTTAAAAAATTTGTTACTTTAGCTTTATAACGAATCAGACTGTGCTGCAGTAAGGAAGGCCTACATGGTTTTTTGTTTTTGTTTTTGTTTTTTTAAGGAGGGTGCAGCTCAGAGTGGCCCATGCAGGAATCAAACCAGCAACCTTGGTGTTATTAGCACCATGCTCTAACCAACTGAGCTAACCAGTCACCCCTCCCTACATGGTTTTTACCTGAGAGAATTCTGTTGTCTGCTGGGGAGGGGATGGAGGCAAACATTTCTCTTGTCTCTTTCTGCAGGGCCATGGGTTACAGAGCAGAGATGGACTACCTTTTGGCCAGGGCCATTGCACTGGCAACTAGAATGGCAAAACACTTCAGGTAATAGGTGTTGCTGCCCCCTTATCTCTGACCCAGCAACTGCTAGCCGCCTGGCCACTCTTCAAGGGGCAGTGACCCTTCCCAGGGAGGAATGGGAAAACCAGCATATCCTTTCAAGAACCAAGCCCAGAGAGAGGTCCAGGAAGACGGATTAAGTAAATGTGGTGCCTGCTGCCTCCCAAAATCACACCAAAATTACATATAAATTATAGAACAATCAACCTCAAGAATCATCTGAAGACTAGCTGAACAGAACCCCTATAACTAAAGATCTAAAGAAGAGGACACATTAAGACTGAAAAAAAAAAAAAAAGAACCAAGTCTGTCATCTCTACCTAGAAGGCATGGGCAGAGCCATTGGCCTTTGGGATCAAGGGAGGATTTAGCCAACCCCCACCCCACCCAGGCTGCTCAGTGGGGCTCCCAACAGGGACAGGGCTCAGGCAACATGACCTCTTTTTTGAGGGCTTTCAGAGAGAGAGTGTACAATCTCTCTAGTATATCCTTTTTTTTAAGATTTTATTGGGGAATTGGGGGAGTGGAACAGCGTTGGGGAATCGGGGAATGAGAACAGACAAGTTGCTGTCCTTTTGTTCTTCAGTCTAGTTGTGGAGGACGTCGCTTGACTGGCCCATGTTGGTATTGTGATCATCGCGCTCTTCCTGGTTGAGGCAGATTGGTCACCGGCCATTGGACGGCCGCTCACGGCAGCTGATGCTGGCTGCCAGCCACTCACGGTAGCTTATGGCAGCCCACTGCAGCTTCACTGAAGCCTACGCCGTCACCAGTGACTCACAGCAGCCCAGCTCCAGGTCAAGCTGTTGTTCACCATCTTAGCGGTAGAGTGTGCAGCGTCACTGTCCGAACTGGTGGCCCTGCTGCTCAGAGCTCGTGCTCCCAAGCCAACTCTTAACCAACTGAGCCACTTGGCCAGTCCTAGTATATCTTTTTATAACGGCATTAATTCCATCATGAGAGCCCTGCCCTCATGACTTCATCTAAACCTAATTACCTCTCAAAGGCCCCAGCTCAAAGTACCATCGCACTGGAGGTAAAGGTTTCAGCACATAGATTTTGGAGGGAAACAATTCATTTCACGGCACAATTTTTCAAAGTTTGGTCTCTTGGCCCTACACATAGAAGATAAAGAAGGAAACTTTGTTTAAAAGGCACTTATTCTATTTTGGAACTGGGTTAAGGACTTCAGTGTATTATTTCATTTAATAGAGCAAACCACATTGGGAGGCTCAGAAAGATGAAATCATTTCCTCCAAGTCACAAAACTGGTAAACTTCGCAGATTTAAATCCTGTCCCATTTGACCCTAGTGCTATAGTCTTTGACCCTAGTGCTATAGTCTTTCCACGGGGCCTTTCTTAAATTTTAATATTTACTGGTTAGCTTATTTAAGAGTGATTAGGCTAAAAGAAACAGGCTCACACCTCCAAGGTCACATGACACCAATTTGAATCAGGAAGTCAATGTTTTTATTTCATAGAGGGAGCTACAGTTGGTCAGAGCGTATATTTGTGTTTGCTCTTTAATCCATGAATGAGTTCAAGAAATTGATGTTTTTTAAATTGCTTAGTTAACATGAAGTCAGAAAAAAGGGATTTGGATGGTCTGCAAAGGTATTCCAATACTGGCTGTTGCTTAGCATTCCTATTCTTTTGGCCATGTGATTTTTTATGTCCCTTCACATCGATATCATTTAGCTTAGGAGGTAAGGACTATGTCAGTCTAAATTATTGCATTACGGCAAAGTACAGTAGCAAAAAGAAAGAAGAAAAAGAAGGTCAAAAACTGTTTGCCCATTACCTGGTGACATCACTCAGCACACCTTCAAATGCTTTGCTGCTGAGCTGATAGAATCTACCAAAGTCAAATCTCCTTCAGTCATAAATGGCCTGTTCTTAATTGAGCAGTATTTAATTCTGCTGCCATTGTAAACATGTAATATGTGAATGCAGGAAGATAAGCCAATTTCCTTAAGTGTACATTCTATTTACACACTTGATTTGATGACATTAGTTTGCAGGTGTCTATACTTCAATTAATTGCATATTGGCAAAATGCATAATTTAAACTCAGTACAAAACTGAAGTATTCAAATGATAGTCTCTTCAATATAATTATTTCACATAAGTTGGAGTGCTGACAAAATGTTGTCCTTTATTTTCTTAAAATAATAGCTTCAAGTATGTTCAAGATTAGATAACACAGAAAATGTCAACAAGATATGACAAATATGAAAATAATGAGATTCAAACGTTATATTTTTATCCAATTTTTCCTCCATAGGTTCACAAACTATTTTTCCTCATGAAATCAAGTTAAGGAACCCAATGTACCACATAGTTTTTTCATCCTGATTTGAAGAACAAGGAAAAGTACCTTTTTTGCTGATCAGTAAGTTAGATGTTGATCTGTAAAAATATGCTGACTTCCTTTTGTTGTAATAGCAAAAAGAAAATGAAAATGATTCAGTTCAACGTAGGAAATATACAACTTATCCGACACACCTTATTTGAAGACTGACTTAAATAGCTTCATTTTTCTTATAAATCAACCTCTTCCCTGAGTAGATATTGAAAAATAAATGCCTGTGTCCTTTCATTAAATCCAGAGTGTGAAAAATGTCATTTTATCATTGAGTCATTCATTGACCCAACACCACACTGCTAAATTAACATTTCATATCCTATCATAATAAACATAGTTCTGTTTATTGAGCACCTAGCCAGTGATGGAGCCTTTACATAAAACATTTCTGTGGTTGGCTGAGTAACAGCTCCCACAGGTCCTAATCTCTGGAACCTGTGAATGCTATTTACCATATATGGCAAAGGGGACTTTGCAGATTTGATAAAATTAAGGATCTTAAAATGGAGAGACTGGGCCAGCCGAGTGGCTCATTGGCTAAGAGCTGGCTTGGGATGCCAGCTCTGAGCAGCAGGACTCCAGTTCGGATCCCACATGAGGGCCAGTGACACTGCCCTCTACAGCTAAGATGGTGAACAACAGCTTGACCTGGAGCTGGGCTGCCATGAGTCGCCGGCGATGGCGTAGGCTGCAGCTCCTGCTGCAGTGGGCTGCCATAAGCTACCGTGAGAGGCCGGCAGCCGGTGTGAGCTACCAAGAGCAGCCGTGAGCGGCCGTCCACAGGCCGGCGACCGATCTGCCTCACCCGGGAAGAGTGCAATGATAATACCAACATGGGCCAGTGAAGCGACGTCCTCCACAACTAGACTGAAAAACAAAAGGACAGCAACTTGTCTGTTTCCCTTCCCCTGATTCCCCAATAAAATCTTTTAAAAAAAAATGGAGAGACTGTCGTGGATTATCTGGGTGGGTGCAATGAAATCAAGAGTCCTTAAAAAAGAAAAGGCAACGTGAAGATTCAGAGACATTTGAAGATGCTATGCTGCTGGCTTTGAAGATGGAAGAAGAATCCATGAACCAGAGAAGCAATGAATTCTGGCAGCCTGTAGAAGTTGTAAAAGTCAAGGAAGCAATTTTCCCGTAGAACTTCCAGAAGGAATCACACCTTCTGACGCTTTGGCTTTAGCCCAGTGAAACTGATTTTGGACTTCCAGCCTCCAGAACCCTAACAGAATAAATTTGTGTTGTTTTAAGGCACTAAATTTGTGGTAATTTGTTGCTACAGCAGTAGGATGCTAACACAATTTCTAATTTCAAAACTACTCTGGGTGGATGGTATTATTACTACACACACACACACACACACACACACACACACACACATACACATGCACACACACACTTATCAGTTGAAGAAAATGAGACACAAAGAGAGGTAAAAAATATAAATAACTAGGCAAATGTACACAGCTAGGGAATGACAGAGAGAAGTGTGGCATCTAGGTATGACTTGAAGACCACAGACAGTTCTTCTCTATTATACTGGCTCATATGAACCAGCAAGGCACGTTTCATGTCTTGTACCAAAAGGGTTTTTTCTCTGTTTAAAAATAAAAAGCAAATCAAAGTGTTCCAAGTTACATGCATTTCAAAGGAAAAGTATTTGTTCTAAACAATGAAGTGATTGAAATATTTGCAAGGCCCTAGTCTGTTTCTATAAGGGGGCTTTCATGTTCCAAACTAAACTCCTTTGTCCCTATAGGTATGGGAAATACAGTTATAACGCACCTATCAAGAATGAATTCTGGGGTGACTGGTTAGCTCAGTTGGTGAGAGCGTGGTGCTGATAACACCAAGGTTGCCTGTTTGATCCCCTCATGGACCACTGTGAGCTGTGCCCTCCTTAAAAGATTCAACTATGCCATCGTAGAATGGATTCTGCATGAAAACTCCATAGATAGGGACTATAAACCTAAGGGTGGCCAACCCTAATGAAGTCATTACGCAGTTGTGAAGGAGTCCAGTTTCTGCCTCAAGGTTTAATAATTCTATGAAGCTTCTTTTTAGTAGGCATGTGATATGCTCATCCAGGCTTCACTGGACTTCTCCTTTTGCTAGCTAAATCAAAATTCAAAAGGAATTTTCCAGAAACACATCATTTGGGGGTTTATTTTGTAATATTTGAGAAGTGCTAAATTAAAAGATGGCCTTATAAATCTTAAAAGCATAGAATGAAGCAAATAATGAAAAAGTAAAACATTTTATTTAACGATGATGTATCTGCCCAGTGTGCATGGAGGGTGATTATTTCAAAGTCCCTGAAGATTCTGGATTCTGTGGGAAATGATCAAATAATTTGTTATTTGGTGTTTATTCAAGTGAAATTTTATAACTTCCTCTACCAGAAAAATTTTGACAATTTTACTGGATGTGTTTCAATAAGTTACTGAAACATCAGCAAAGGAGATAGTTTTAAAAGGTTGCAGAAAAAGCATTTAGATGGGGAAGAAGGTAAAGGGATTAGAAAAGTACAAATTAGGAGTCACAATATAGCCACGGGGATATGAAATACAGTTTAGGGAATATAATCAATAATGTTGTAAAGATTATGTAGGGTGTCAGATGGGCACTGGGCTTATCAGGGAGATCACTTCATAGACTGTGTAGATGCCTGACCAACGCACTGTACACCTGAAGCTGAGGTAGAATAATATTGAATGCCAGCTGTAAGTGTATATATATATATATGTATGTATGTATAAATACACACACACACACTCAGAGTCAGGGGAGGTGGTGTACAGCATAGGAAATATAGTCAATGGAATTGTGACAGCTATACACGATGTCAGAGGGGCAGTAGATTGGGGGGAGGAGGGTTATCACTTTGTGAGGGGTGTAAATATCTAACTATTACATTGTTTTGTACACCTGAAAGTAAAAAATAATAAAATAATTATATGTTAAAATTTTTTTTAAAAAAGGAAAAGCATATCGATATTAGGCTGGTAAAATAGTGACATCTTGTGGTAAGAATTAGCAACATAATCCCGAAACTAGAAAAAGTTAAGGCAGGCAAACCAAGTAAAATGGAAATAAATAAATAAAATAAACTTTACTAAATCTTTGTTCTTGAAGATAAAAAGAATTTTTCTCATTTTTTGAAAAAGATTTTTATTGGGGAATTGGGGGATGGGAACAGCGCTGGGGAATTGGGGGAAGGGGAACAGACAAGTTGCTGTCCTTTTGTTCTTCAGTCTAGTTGTGGAAGACATTGCTTCACTGGCCCAAGTTGGCACCATCATTGTGCTCTTCCCAGGCAAGGCAGATCAGTTGCCGGCTTCTGGACGGCTGCTCACGCTGGCTGCTGGCTACACACAGTAGCCCGTGGCAACCCAGTGCAGCAGGGGCTGCAGGCCATGCGGTTGCCAGCGACTCACAGCAGCCCAGCTCCAGGTTGAGCTGTTGTTCAGCATCTTAGCTATAAAGGGCAGTGTCACTGGCCCTCATATGTGGGATCTGAACCAGGGCTCTCTGGCGTCCCAAGCCAGCTCTTAACCAACGCACCTCTCGGCCGGCCCGAATTTTTCTCATTTTTGACTTTGGGCTGTAAGGGAAAAAATTCTGGGTTTCTGCCTTATATTTCCCGTTACCAAAGGAGTTTAATTTAGAAAATAGAACTGCTATACAGAAATAGACCAGGACATCACAAATACTTCTTTTGTGAACACCTTCAGCACAAAACTACTCCTGACAAAGACCATAGTAATAATAATAAAAAATCTAGAACCAGAGATGACCTCAAGAGGTTACACGGTAAAGACTTCTGCTCAAAGTTTAAGGCATTTGGGAGATGTTTTTCTCTGTTTTCAAAATAAAAAAATCAATATAAAAAAAAAGAAATAGACCAGGACACTGCAAATATTTCCTTCCATAAATGCGTTGTTTAAAACAAAAATATTTTACATTTGAAATTCATGGAACGTGAGACACTTTGATTTATTTTCAACTTTAAATAAAAATAGAGAAATTATGTTTTCCCTTTTAGTGCCTGTAGCAGATGCTTTAGGTGCTTTCACCTGTGTTCCTTCTGCTGACCCCAGCAGTCACCTGCAGCTTGGGTGGACAGTTATACACCGCATGCCTTCTCTCTGCCTGAGGTCTGTCTCTGGCTGCAGAATTGAGTCCTGCCTGTGCAGGGCAGGCTGGAAAGGTCCGGAAGTTAACACTCCTGTGAGCCGCTTTCAATCAAGAGGGCAGGGCACAAAGGGATAAATATTGGGTCATCGGAAAAGTCATGACATTTTTTCTATGTTTTTCATTGCAAAAATGCACCATGACTTTTCCAACAACCCAATACCTCAGCTTTCTACACCATCAGTGGGACAATTCTGGGTTTGTTCTACGTGGTCTGTCAGGGGGTCCCCAGCAGGATTGAACTCCTGTTTCCTACAGCAGTAACTTGTTCATTGATCCACCTTTTCTTTGTTTTCCTAACTCCCTCACCATGTTTCCTGGGGTCACCACCCAATAAACTACATGTACCCAAATCATCATCTCAGGGACGAATATAGTGATCTATCCACACTGAGTGTGCACACACACGTTTCAAAGGGAACAAAAATGAGTTCTAAGCATTTATACTAGTTTTATTAGCAAAACAACAAAATGAACAAGGCAAAGACAAGTCTAGCACATTTTAGGTTAACTGCAACCATAACACCTTTCACAGCTGTGTGCAGCCTGGCTGCCATCATTCCCATGCAGGCTTTCTCTTGATGGAATCAGGTCAACATAGCAAAATTGCCTCAGGATGCAAAGAGGGCACCTCTACGGCTGGGACTTCAGATCCATTCTAAAGTCCCTGCAAGAAAACTTGAACTGGGTGCTAAAAGCTGGTTGAACTAACTGATTTACGAATTGGTTAGGAAATAATATATGAAGACTGTATACTTGAAGTCACAAGACTTAGAAATGTATTTTACAAAACATATGTATCCATTAGGGGTTGTCTTTTTCTTTTTCTTTTTTTTTTAAGATTTTATTTGGAAATTGGGGGAGGGGAACAGACAAGTTGCTGTCCTTTTGTTCTTCAGTCTGGTTGTGGAGGACGTTGCTTCACTGGCCCAAGTTGGCACCATCATTGCCCTCTTCCCGGGCAAGGCAGTCGGTGGTTGGACGCCTGCTCACGGTGGCTCACGGAGGCTCATGGCAGCTCACTGCAGCCTACACCATCACCAGCCACTCACAGTAGCCCAGCTCCAGGCCGAGCTGTTGTTCGCAATCTTAGCTGTAGAGGGCGCAGCTTACTGGCGAATGTGGGAATCGAAACAGCAGCCCTGTTGTTCAGAGCTCGCACTCTTACCAACTAAGCCACTCGGCTGGCCCAGTCTTTTTCTTTTTTAACTACCAATTTAATCAACTAGTTTTCTTCACTTTCAAGGGCATGTGAGGGGGAGAGAGACCAGTGAGTATCTCAATATTTTACACAAAACAGGTCTCAGTCCAGGAAGTGATATACAAGAGGCGGTGGGGGGCAGGGAGTGCTGCTCCAGTGCTTTGACCATCAATCACATGTAAATTTCAACCCCTGGCCACAACTTTGCATCAGGAGTCAATTTATTCAGACCTGATGGCTATGGAGGGGGGGAAAAAAGCTGTTTTATATTGGCATGTTGAAAATTACGAAATAAATCTCCAGTATTCACCTGAAGTCTTGGTCACAAACAAGTCAAACTGCTAACTACGGCATGTGACTAATAGCACTTTATACACCAAGGGATGTTGGTAAAGTCATGTTTTTATTTCCCTTTAAAAGAAAACTGCTTCCAAGCCAATTATTCATCTCCCCAAGTCCAAAATTTATGAAGTTTAACAAGCATTAAACTAAAGAAAAAGGATTTATCCGCCTGAGTTTCAGAATAAATGCCTTTTTTAAAATCACCGTATATTCTAATATCTAATTGGTATCTTGAAATCCATGCATAGCTCCTACTTCATTGCATTTCTGAGTCCCAAAGTATGTTTGTATCTGTAAGTATCATAACAGTAATGGTGAGGTAGCCTGCCTAGTATTTTCCATATACTATTTTATTTAATGCCTATATCACTATGATATAGTTATAATTACATACATTTTGCAGATGAGAATACTGAATCTTTAGGGAAGTTGCCCAAATTCTGATGTGTCTGAAAACTCAAGTTATTTTTTTTTAATTGAAGGCTTTTAAAAATTTTATGTACAAAGAGCTGGAATTGCTTCTGCAGTAAGATAGATATCCTGAATGATTCATTCATGGAAGTTCACTTAGTCCAACTTAATGAAGCCTATATCCTTCACATACTGATGGAAATTGGCAACACAACTGAGGCCGTATTTCCAGATCAGACCACGCAGGTTTGAGCAGACATTGCAAGAATGAGAACCCCAGGGGGTGACCGGTTAGCTCAGTTGGTAAGAGCGTGGTGCTGATAACACCAAGGTTGCCGGTTCAATCTCCATATGGGCCACTGTGAGCTGCACCCTCCTTAAAAGAGTCAGCTATGCCATTGTAGTGTGAAAGCAATGTGTAACCAGTAACCATGGCTGTTCCCCAATATAAATAAATAAATAAATAAATAAATAAATAAATAAATAAATAAAATGAGAACCCTGGCCAAATTCTCTTGGATGACTCCAGTAGCGCTGTTGGTGATCCATCTTGCTCTCTCGGATGCAACAAGGTAAAAGGCTCAAACATCAAGTGTTGTTTTTTTAAAAAAAGATTTTATTGGGGAATTGGGGGAGGAGAATAGCATTGGGGAATCAGGGAAGGGGAACAGACAAGTTGCTGTCCTTTTGTTCTTCAGTCTAGTTGTGGAGGACGTTGCTTCACTGGCCCAAGTTGGCACCATCATTGTGCTCTTCCCAGGCAAGGCAGATCAGTTGCCGGCTTCTGGACGGCTGCTCACGCTGGCTGCTGGCTACACACAGTAGCCCGTGGCAACCCAGTGCAGCAGGGGCTGCAGGCCATGCGGTTGCCAGCGACTCACAGCAGCCCAGCTCCAGGTTGAGCTGTTGTTCAGCATCTTAGCTGTGGAGGGCAGTGTCACTGGCCCTCATATGTGGGATCCGAACCGGGGCCCTCTGGCATCCCAAGCCAGTTCTTAACCATCGCACCACTCGGCCGGCCCAACAATTTCTTTTCAATTAAGATTTTACTGGGGAGTTAGGGGAGGGGAACAGACAAGTTGCTGTCCTTTTGTTCTTCAGTCTAATTGTGGAGGATGTCGCTTCACTGGCCCATGTTGGTATTATCGTTGCGCTCTTTCCCAGTGAGGCAGTCGCTCGCCAGCCATTGGATGGCCGCTCACAGTGGCTCATGGCAGCCCACTGCAGCAGGGGCTGCAGCCTACACCGTCGCCGGCAACTCACGGCAGCCCAGCTCCAGGTCGAGCTGTTGTTCACCATCTTAGCTGCAGAGGGCAGTGTCACTGGCCCCCATGTGGGATCCAAACCGGGGCCCTGCTGCTCAGAGCTGGTGTCTCAAGCCAACTCCTAACCGATGCGCCACTTGGCCGGCCCTGAAAACTCAAATTTTTACCTGTGGTATCAACCAGCTAGTGCTACCTAATAAGCAATCACAAAATCTCAGTGGCATACAACTGTAAACATGTTGTTTCTCACATGTCTGCACACTAGGTTCTGAAGCGGCTCAGCTGATCTTGGTTGGCTTAACTAGATGGCTCCAAGCTTCTGTCTCCAAGCTTCAGGATCCAGCTCTGTGCCACACGTCTCTCAATCTCTTTGATCAACAGACTATCTGGACCATGGTCTTCTTATGGTGATGGCAGAAGTGTGAAGGGTAAGTGGAACACACAAGACCTCATAAGGCCTAAACTTGAAACTAGTACAGTGTTGTTTTCACCCATATCCCACTGACCAAAGCAAGTCATGTAGCCAAGTTCAAAGTTAAGGGGCATGGAAGTATATTCCTCTTTCAGTGAAAGGATGTGCAGTTACATGGCAAAGACTGTGGATACAGGAAAGGGTGAAAAATTGGAAACAAGATTTCAATATATCCTACTCACTGTGCCACTGGGCTCCCATACTCTTTTGTAAATAATTTCAGGTGTATGTGTTTGTAGTGAGGTAAGGAATGAGCTATCATTCTGATACACTCAGGGGTGCTGAAAGAGTATCAAATGTGATCAATTAAGCAAGACAGGCTATCTCTAAGTTCTGAAAACCCGAAGTCTAGCATCATTGACAAGACCCGTCATGGGCAAAATCATGAAGCAGGCAAATTTGTCTTTGATGTGCCTTTATCTTACCTCTAATCATCCCCCACTTTCATGCCTCTGTCTTATCTATTTCTCCTATCTCCATAACAAAATGTTCCATCCCTGTAGCCCATTCTCCCTAAATCCTACCCTCTGCATTTCAAGGCTTCCTATGTGATAACTAACACCCCTGAGATAGTCACAGCTGAATAAGTTTTTGCTTAAAGATATTTTGACTAGGGATTCCTGGGCACAGAGTATGTGAGATAAATAGTAGTTGTCAAAAAAAGTTGGGGGAAGTAAAACTCTTTTATCTTCAAATAATCTTAATGCAAAACCCAATTTGTTAATGGATAATATACTATTATCTTACTATTAGTCAAATAATATTAATATAATTATTAACACTCAATTATTATTGGTTCACATGGGGGGTAGGAAAGAGACAAACCCACTTGTTTTCTTGGTCTCCACCTCATATCCCCTTGTTGACCTCTGAAGTTCTTCCACAGAACCCTCAGGTACCAAGGAACACAGTTTGAAAACCCATAATATGAACTCTCGTGTTTGGAATGTCTCATAGATCCTCTCATCTT